TCTCTCTCTCTCTCCATCTCTCTCTCTCTCTCTCTCCCTCTCTCTCTCTCTCTCTTTCTCTCTCTCTTTCTCTCTCCTCTCTCTCCTCTCTCCCTCTCTCTCTCTCTCTCCTCTCTCTCTCTTTCTCTCTCTCTCTCTCTCTCTCTCTCTCTCTCTCTCAGGCATGCACGACGCCCCTTTTCTTTCCTGTCCCCCCACACTCTGTCACGGGCCCTTCCATCTCTTTTTGTCTCTTTCTCTTTCCTCCTTGTCTTTCTGGCTTCTCCCAGCGGTTTCCCCCTCTCGGCCTGTTCATCGTCCACCGCCTCCCCATCTCCATGGTTTCCTGAGGTATGTCCAGCCCCCGCCGCTCCCCCAGCCCCCGCTGCTCCGGCTGTAACTCAGACCTGAGTCCCTGGGAGGCCCTTGTCCCCTTGGGGTGGGGCAGAGGCCTTCGGGAGGGGCCCCTCTGCTTTGCCTCTCTCTCCTCCTCTCTCTAAAGCACAGGCTCCCAATCTTCTGTGGCCACGCCCACCTAAGCGGCTCTAAAACCCTGATGCCCCGCCCCCCCCCCATATAATTCTTATTACTCAAAAAGAGAACTCCTTCCTATCCACGTGGAGGAAGCCTAACAGGCCATTAACTTGGTCTAAACAAGCTTCCAAAGAACATGGCATCCATGAGAGAGAAAAAATAAAAGCACAAAAGAAACAGTTGAAGTCCGGAGGAAGAAATCACTAAGAAACTGTTCTTAAAAAAATGGAGTGATATGAAAAAATAGCAAATCAAGTTTCAAAGCATGCACTAGAGAACTGAAATGCAACATACAATATATATGTATATATTGTATACAAGGCCCCAAAGATCGTAAGAAGTGCAAACAATTTTACTGTTATAACTCATTCTTGAAGTGCCCCCCTTAAACATCAAATTGCCCCTCCCCCTGAGGGGCGTGTGCCCCACGCTGGGAACCACTGCTCTAAAGGAGCCGCTGCTCCAGGCCCAGCCCAGCCCGACTCCAGCCCCCCACCCCCCACTCCCAAATCACCCCACGCTAACTGTCCCCACCTCCCCCTCTGCCTGTCCTTGCCCCCACTCCTTCATTTAGAAGGCAACAACAGCGCTAATAGAAAGTCTTTCTCCCGAGGTCCCAAATGCACCCTCCAAACCCGATTAAAATGGGCAAGAGGAACACAGGCCCAGGGGTCAGGAGCGAGGCCCTGGTGACATCAGCCGGGGAAGGGGAAGCTGGCCTTTCTCTCTCAGCTCTCGCCCCCGCCTGTGAGTGATGGCAAGTGTGACACAACTTAGGACTGCTCCTGGGGTCCCTTCTCCCGGCCCCCACGTGTCCGGCGGGCCCTTCTCCCAGCCCAGGGGGAGGATGCTCTTTAGTCCAGATCTCTGCAAGGAGCCCTTGTGAAAGCGTTGCCCAATAAATCTGCCTTTACAGGGGGATAAATCCACCTTGAAAACCAGGGGTTTTGATTTCAGTGGGGCCTTTTGCATTTTCAGAGGCTCCGGCCAAAGACATCTACAAATGGAATTATTCAGTCTTCAAATGTTTGATAATGAGAGAGGAGGGGGTGGGGTGGGGGGGAAGAAATGGAATACCCTGGAACAAAGCACCCTCTGCAGGCTCACTCCGGCTTCCGGAGGCCAGGACGCCTCAGAGCCACGTTTGAAGGGGCTCCCTTGAAAAAGAACACCTTCTCCACACTCCCCCGATCTTC